GAGTTTATTTACATTTTCTGTCTGTACAGCTACCAGAGATAAAGTAGCAAACTTGGAGGATTTTTTTCTGAGCACATGTTGCAGTAAAACTATCATTTTATTACAAGACCAGGGGTGAATTATTGTCTTTGTTATAAAAACAGGGCAACTGTATAAATTAAAAAATAAATTCATAGTTGAGCAAGAGGTGTTACAATAGATTTTCCAGAGAAAGAAGTACAGGCTTTTCGATGCAAATCCAGTCTCTTATTGGAGATCTTGAAATTGATTTTTCACGTTCAGCCTTTTCATGGCAGTTCACAGACACTCATTACTCTCTCTCTCTTATTCCTGCTCCCTTGAGTCACCTGTTTATACAGCCACTCTTCTGCCAGTGACTGAAGTTTGTCTTAAGGAGGCTGATTTATTATCAATACTAACCTTGGTGTTCCAAGGTAAGGATTTTGTGTAGCAAGCACCAGAGAGAGGACCTCCGTGTGGTATCTGTAATTTCATTGTAGTAAAATGCATAGTTGGCTGTCTGTAAACAAAAGCTTCTCTCTGGTGAATAGAAAAAAACCCCCAAACCATCAGTGCTATTAATTTACTCAGTGCAATGAATTTACATATTGAATTCGTGAAGTAGTTGGACACCTTCCATTTTTTAGGAGACAATGATAGACCTTCAGTCAAGATCCTTGTATCTCAAAGTAAATAATCCCTGTCCAAAGGATTACTTTAGTTGTTTTATTTTCCTCCATGGTATGTAAAGGACTGGAAGAGCCAAAGGCTTAAGAAGCCTTTTGTTTTCTGATTTTAGATTGAGGCTTTTTTTTATATCTTTCTTAAATGGAGAGAGAAAATTCAAAAAAACAAACAGAGATCAGGAACTGGAGAAAATGATTGCCCAGAAAAGCTTTCAGCATTACTGTTTTCTAACTCTTAGTTAGTGATTTTATGGTTCAACTAATGAGATTTAAATATGAGAAAAGATTATTAAAGTGATTCAAAATACTCTTACATAGCTCCGATGAATCTCATGTAGGTTTTTCTTAAAAGAATTTGAGCCATCATGTAATATGGATTAGCTGAGAGATGTGTCTGCTGAAGTATATTTGCAATATATGTCTGTGAATGATAGAAGCAAAATATTTAACTTTGGAAAGATTGTGGTTTTTAAATCCTTTGGCTTTGCATTTTGTTTGTTCAATACTTTCTGAATGGAATTAAGGGGTATTTTAGTTGTGGGCTTTATGATGCTGTGTTGTGGCTGAACTAAATGAGAATGAGACACAGTTCTGACAATTGCTACAGGAGGTTTGCTTTTTGCTATGGACTGTTAGACTTTAAATCACACATCTTGTTCCTCCTAACGTAAGGTTTGCTTTAGTGAAATTCTCTGGGTTGTGGCTGAACTAAATGAGAATGAGACACACAGTTCTGACAATTGCTACAGGAGGTTTCTTTCTGCTATGGACTGTTAGACTTTAAGTCACACATCTTGTTCCTCCCAACGTAAGGTTTGCTTTAGTGAAATTCTCTGACCAGAATGAAGTCAAGTCAGACTGGTTCTTTGATACCTTTATCACCTAAGCCCTGAGCTGCTTATATATTCTTTAACTAGTGAGGGTAATATCTTTGTTTATGCACGTGCCTGGCATGATCTTAGATGGGTCATAAATGTTATATGGCTTATTAATGAACAAGAGAAGAAAGAATTGTTACCAAAAGACAGAATGAATGATTTTGGAGAGCAACTAGTCTGACCCACCTGTTCAAAGCAGGGTCAACTAGAGCAGGTTGCTCAGGACCACTGGAAGAGTCTGGCTCCATTTTATCATCTTTACTTCTCCCAGCAGATACTTAACAGTGGTAAGATCCCCCCAAGCCTTCTCTTCTCCAGGCTGAACAACCCCGGCTCACTCAGCCTCTCTTTGTATGACAAATGTTGCAGTCCCTCATCATCTTCATTGGCCCATCAGTGGAATTGTTCCAGTACATCCTTATCTATCTTGTACTGGGGAGCCTGAAGCAGGACCAAATGTGGCCTTAGTAGCACTGAACAGAGTGGAAGGATCACTTCCCTTGGCCTGTTAGCAACAGTCTTCCTAAATGCAACCCAGGGTGCCATTGTCCTCCTTTGCCACGAGGGCACGTTGCTGGCTCGTGTTCAGTTTGTTGTCCACCAAGACCCTTTGGTCCTTCTCTGCAAAGCCGCTCTCCAGACTGGTAGCCCTCCAGTGTGTAATGGTGCCTGGGGGTCTTGCTTCCCAGGTACAGGACTTGGCATTTCATAGTGTAGATAATTTGGGCAGATCCAGTAATTTATTTGTACTGTTGTCTGTAAATTAACACTTGATCTGAAATAGTTTCACTATGAAAAATGTTAAAATGGAACTTCTGACAGTTTCAGAATACATGCATGGACAGTAATGAGAATTAATTTTTCCTCTCTAAACATATTCTTGGTGGAAATCCCACCATGCTGCCCCAAATGTCAACAGTAGACTAAAGCATTCTTTGCAAAACTCCTCATCACCTTCAGCAAGCCATCATTCTTATTTATGGGATGTATTTGGTGTGTTATTTATGCAGGAGTAGTGTAATTGAAATATTTCTTACTCTCCTCCACCTGTGTGGTTTCCAAGACATACAGTGCCAACACTTTTTTTACATATTTAGAGCACTCAAACGTTTTTGTTGGCTTCATGGCTAAACTTGTGATGCTTGCATGCTTTCTGCTCTCTACTTGGTCAGTAGGACTCTGTAAGTGAATGTCAGTGCATGTCCACAATAAGCAGGAATTAATAAGAAGAAATATTACAGGATTTTGAATATTTATTTGATGCTTAATAAAGTCATTATTGTAAGAACAACTAGTGATTTGGTTGATTTATCTTTTGGAAAATGTACTGCTGCTCTTCATGGAGTAGCAGAAAACTTGTGTCATGCCTTTTCTAATTCTTGGTAAAAGGGAGAATCAGGAGGAGGGTCTGAGGACTATCCATTTGGGAATGTTTCTTAGAATTAGTGTGCTTTGTGAAATGCAGAAGTCAAAATTTGTGTAGTCAGATTTGAACCACCAAAATAAATGGTTCAAATTCATAGGAGGTTAAGATTATCAAAATAATGCAAGGCTGTACAAAACATTTCAAAGTTTAAGGACAATTTGGAAGCCCAGCTTTAAAAGCCCTCTTTGCAAACCAGAATCTGTATTTCTTTGTTTACAACATTTTTAACTAAGCATATGTAACAGATCTTTTCTTTATCAGAAGGAAATTGTAAAGAAATTTTGTGAAATCATTCTGTTTCTAGGTATGTTACTGGAATCGGATTATATGGTCTCAAAGAATGATTAAATAACTTGATTCCCTTAGGAATATCATATGGAAAATCCAAACTTCATTCTAGATAAGAGGGCAGTAGTTCATTGAGCCACTCGGTGAAGGTGTCCTTAATCATGACAGAAAAAGCAAAAGCCTCTCCGCTGTACCCAATGCACAGAGAGTTGCTTTATGAAACAACTTTGTCTCATCCAATTTTTATTGTATTTTTATTTATTTGAAGTGACCTTTTTTTCCCCCCACCCCTTGAAAATAAGTGTGAACTTCCTATGGAACTGGAGTTCAGTAGTAGTGGTGCATGCTGTCTTCTGCTGATGTGGTGCTACATGTTTCCTTTTGATATCTTCTTTTTTCTCACTACAAACTCTCTCTTCCTTTTTCCCCAGTATTTTTCTCAGTGGAAAAAAGGCAATAGTAGACTTGAGGCTCAGGAATTTGCCATGAGAAATGCAGGATATCCTCTAAGATGCATAACCCTTGTGTTTGTAATTACTACAGTGCTGCATATGATGCCGTCCTTGACAGAAACGTGGCCATTAAGAAGCTCAGCAGACCATTTCAGAACCAAACTCACGCCAAGCGAGCTTACAGGGAGCTGGTCCTCATGAAGTGTGTGAATCATAAAAATGTAAGTTCTCAGTAGGTAACTGAAGTGGTTTGTTAGAAAGAAGATGGTTTTGTTGAGTGCCTCTTTGTAACAGAAGAAACAAAAAGTAAATTACACTTAAGAACTACAGTCTTTCTGGTACTGTATGCCCACAGGAGAGGGTGAGGATCTTCCATGTGATTATTTAAAAGCTGTGCCAAACAGGGATGGTGCTAGTAGGGTTAGGGCAATAGAAGGTGAGAGAGCAGAATATGTTCCTGTCAACTCCTTATCCAGAAATACCTAAAGTGGTTGCTGGAATCCTGTCTCCATCCTCTTGTCGCTGGGATTTGTGACTCAAAAGCAGCGTCTCTTGAGTTGGAGTAGCCATGCGTGAACATCACTCCTTGTTCTGGACTTCATCTGAAACCTAGTCGTATAGATGCATTGTATAGATTGTACAAGATGAGACATGGTCATGGTGAAGGTTGCTGCAAAACTGCCGAAGAAAATAAAGAAGCAAAAGCATTTTTCCATTCTCAGGTATTTGTCTATAAGCTAATGTTGTGGAACCAGGGACTCTGAAGCCTCAACATATCGTGCCATTCCTTCTCATCACAGTGTTCTTGTTGAAATAAACAGCACTAGCAGGCTCTAGACTTTCCTGCTTCTTACACCCACTAGCTATGGTATAACATTTAGTATCCATAACAAATGGAAATATTCCTGTGCTGCAGCAGGAGTGTTTTTCCAGGGCTGTATGTTAATTGTAGGCATTTATCTATTAGTTAGAACTATCTGCCTGATCCCACTTGCTTTTCTGTAGTGAGATATGTAGGATTGCCCCACTGTGTTCTCAAGGGATCTCCCAAGGATTTAATTTTCATATAGTTCTTTGATTTCTGCTGTGGCTTGGTGCTATACCTCTGTGCCCCTTCCTTTTTATTAGCAGTGAATTTTTCAGTTTGCTCTACCTTTACCTTTGCCTCAGATCCTGCAATGACTCTTTCCTTACACAAATCATAACTTAGCTTGAAAGGCATGATGGAAGGTGAGATTTGACACTTGTTTCCAATCACAAATTTGCATGGAAAGAAAAAGGACTGACCCTAAAATGGCAGATGGGAGCACTTGTCACCTGTAGTGTCCTCTGCCCCACTTCTGGGCATTGACTTATCCTTACGTGCCTGCTGTATTGATTAGGACTGTATCTATCTCCTCCCTGTTGACTTGGATGGAAACTACACTCAGTCAGACCAATGTGGGAGGCTTTGAAAATGCAGGGGTGAGTGAGTAGTTCTCCCTGCAGGCAGAAGAATGATACATTCTGCACTCATGTTTTTAATGGACAGGAAAGAGCAGTGTTAATTTTGAATATATAATTTTTAAAATGTCACATAAGAGCTGAGAACAGCACCGCATCGGTTGGGTCAGAGTTTCAGTCTGTCTGTACAGACAAATGCAAAGGAAGGAGAGGATTGTAAAGGCTCTTGTGCAGAGGCAAGAATTGCTCGGAATATGTGGAGCAGACAGAAAGAATATTGACCCATTCCTGTTAGAAAGCCTAGAGCGTTAGTGGAGGTGAGGGGGGAGACTTTCAGCTGTTGTCTTCATGAGGGCTGTGCTGATATCCTCTCCTCTGTTGCCCACGCAGGAGGAAAGCATAGGAAATTTAGATCCCTGAGGTCAGATTTTTCCTCTGTACTGTTTCACACATTCTTATCAGTGTCTTTCAACAGCCCAACCCATTTAAAAAACAAAACCCCAAACAAGCAAGTAAAAAAGGAGTTGCAGTATGCAAGATGTCTTTGCCCAGAATGTGTCTACCATTTTAAAGTGATTCCACTAAAAAGCAGTACCTCTCATGATGGGATTTGTGCCAGCATGTGTGCATATGTGCCCTCAGAGGAACTGAGGCCACGTCAGAGAGAAGTAAGGTCTTCACTTTATTTTTAATAAGATGGTCCTTGATTATTTGTCCCCTCAGATGAGTTCTTAATCTATAAGCAATTTCTGGCTGTAGCACAAGGACTGCTGTGCTAGATTGAACTGAAGTTGGTCTTTGCACCTGTAACTTCAAAATTCAGAGGACTGCTTCACCCTTAGCATTTCGGTTTGTCACTGATCATTAATCCTTCTCTCAGAAACTGTTTGAAGTGCACCTATAAAATCTTAGAGATCTGTGGTATTTTATTTTGAATATTGACAACTTTTTACTAATCCATAAAGTAAGAAGTGTTAGTATAAATTGAGGGGTGAAAAAACAGAGTTTATACTTTAACACACACGTCAAAATGGGTTCAGCTGCTTACTTTTATCACATCTCTTTATCCTTTATACTTTGCTTTTCAGATTATCAGTCTATTAAATGTCTTCACACCACAGAAATCTCTGGAGGAGTTCCAGGATGTGTAAGTAACACAGGCAGTAATTAAACTAAAGCTTTAGAGATATATGGGGCATTACAGTGTACCTTGGATGCCATAACTCAGCAAAATGCAAAGATTATGGGCCCCTCTAAAAAAGATCCCGTGCAGTCTGCTCCGTGCTTAGACTGTTATTCTTCATTCCCATACGGGAGCAATTTTGTCACTTATAAGGTGCCAAATACCAGTTTCCTAAGTGCTATAATAGTGTGAAAAGCCTGTGGTGACTCTTCTTGAGAGGGTTAGTGTGTTTGCATTTGCCTTCACATGCAGAGGAAGGGGTATGAGCAGTTAAAAGGGCCTGCTTTTGTGTCACTAGTTTGCTTGGGAAATGATGGTGGTTATGTGACTCCCTGACACGTGTGAAGTTTTGAAATGTGGCACTTGATTCTGAAATAATTTCCTGTAAAAGAGACTGATGTCTCTGAAACATTTCCTTGTTTCATATTTGTTTTGTTATAACCGTTCTCCATGACAGTGTCTGCCATGGAGAATGCACCAAGAAAGGACCAGCAATCCATGTGTTTTGCTGGGATGCTAAAAGAAGGGTGTCTCTGCTGTGAGATGGTGTAGTGAGAAACAAACACCACAATCGTACAGTTGTGAGTGGGCCCAGTCTCCAGCTGTGTCACCCCCAGTCATTAGAAATAAAGTGAATTTTGAAGCAAGAAAAGGCATTGTTACTTATTTGAGAAGATGCTGTGGTTCCTCTTCGACGCAGACAATAACCCTCTGACTTTACTTTTTCCTTCAGTTACCTGGTAATGGAGTTAATGGATGCCAATCTGTGCCAGGTCATTCAGATGGAGCTAGACCATGAGCGAATGTCTTATCTACTGTACCAAATGCTCTGTGGTATCAAGCATCTTCACTCTGCAGGAATTATTCACAGGGTAAGGGGCTTGAAACTTAAGGCAGCATATGACATCATCATGAAGACTTTAGAAACCACTTTTGTTTCTTGTGTACTGTGGATCAAAGCCCTATCTCCCAGTAAAATCACTATAAACTTATGGGTTGTAGTCCATCCCCTTAGCAGAGTAGCTTCATACTTGTGTTAGGAATGAGATTATTTGTGAACTTAATCAGACAAAAAGGTAATGTGATTATTAAAAATAAATAATAACCAAATAATAAGCACTGGAAATCATCAAAGTGATTATGATCTCTGAAACATGTAGATAAACATTATTTCTCCTGAAAATGCAGCTGGCTACATCTACCACGCATGACATTCACATGCTTTGAATGGATATTGTAGTGTGGTCCAAGTGTTGCTTGATAGGATCTGCAGAGGTCAGGGCATATGGAATTGGTATTTGCCATCATTTATGTGTCCTAAAACAAATGAGAAGACTGTTAAGTCTATATTAAACGCATCCTCTCATTTTGCTTTTCCCCATCAGAGTGCTGTGTCTGGCAAGGATGCGGTACCTGGCTGTCAATGCCAGAGGTAGCACTACATGTGATTGCTGACAACAGAGGGAATACTTCATGTGACTGTGAGCAGGAGGCAATTCTGAAAGGATCAAAAATATCCTGAGTTAACGTCTTTATTCAAATGTGCTTTTACTAATTTGGGATTTCCAACTGAAAAAAAACAAATCCAAAAAACATTTCCCTTCTGTTATGAGAGGAAGAAAAGAAGGGCTGATAAAATGGGTTACAAAATGGATGTTGCTTTACAATATACAAAGGTCTCCTTTCTTGGCAGGTTGTATGTCTAGCATAGGATGATAGATTTAGCTTATAGATAGTCATCCAGAGAAGGATGAGTTGAATTATTATAAATTAAGCATTAAGGTATCTCCACATGTACAGCTGGAATGTCTCTATTGGGCTCACAGCATTAAAAAAACCCCACCAAACAACTTGAAACAGCACTGTAGTATTCATCCTAGCTTCTTGGACTGCTAGAAGTAATTAATTTAATACTAGTAGGCTCCTGCTATCCAGGTAAAGCCCCACAGTGTGGCAAGTTAGAACATCTTTCCAGAAGAGCTTGCTAGAGAAACAGTAGCAAGGTTTTGCCGTGTATTTACAAGTATTTCTGATCATGTCAGAAGAGTAAAAGAATATTTGAAGGGTAACCTAAAATATCAGTCCATATCACAGCTGTGCCTGGCTTTATGAAGGATGATCATATGTCTTTTCACTGTCTTTTGCAGGATTTAAAACCCAGTAATATTGTAGTAAAATCTGACTGCACGTTGAAGATTTTGGATTTTGGACTGGCCAGGACTGCAGGCACCAGCTTCATGATGACTCCATATGTGGTGACACGTTACTACAGAGCACCAGAGGTCATTTTGGGAATGGGCTACAAGGAGAACGGTAGGGCTGCAATTTCATAGCAAGCACAGTGTAACCTGGTGTGTAAGGTCTGCCTCTGCAATTGTGAGGGGCACCAGAAGGGGAAAATGAAAACATAATGGGAAAGGACATCTTGAATTTAAAAGGCAGGTCACTTAAAGCAGTTTCTCACAGTTGCATACTGCATCTACAGAACGTATTTGAGATGTGATGCTGGTGAATTCATCAGTGTAGGATTGCAGAGCAATGAGAAACTTGTTCTTAGTTATGACTGAACTTAACAAATACCACTAGTTCTTTCTGACCAGAACGCATTTGGCTTCTCTGGCTGTGACAGTGTGGGAACCACTGGAATTGCTGAATGAGTGATGTGTTCTAAATCTAAGTCTAGATCTCTGAATTGTTTGAGGGAAGAAGAAAAGGTACAAGCTGAAATAGGGAATCCTGTTCCCTGTTTCAGGAATCCTAGCCCTTCCAGAATTTCTTAAAATCCAGAGCTAGGTCTGAATTTCAGGAACGGTTTCTGGCTTTATGGTAGGTTTAACTGAAGTCCCAGGTTTTGCCAACAGGTTTCACATGGTCAAGATCTAAGTGTAAATTTTGCAGTTTAAGTCTTTTCTTTTTGTAATGGGAAGTAGAGTTGGAGAGAAGAGGAAAAAAATGAAGCTTAAAAAAATGTGTCTAATTTGTGTGTAATCTCCCTAGATGTAAATAGGATTTTGCTCTGAATGGTGTGAGGGATCTGGGTACCTCTTGGTCCCTGGAAAGATTGTGAAAAGCAGGCAGGGGGTGCTCATTATAGAGAAACAGGTAAGGAAGAATTCACATTTTGCAAGGGATGAAAGGAAAACTTTGTAATCTATTCTCATTTTGTAACACAACTGAGAATTGCATCCGAGTGCCAGCTAGACCGGGTGGGAAAAGAGGGGATACAACGTATAGTGGAGAAAAATCTGCTATGACTCAGATTCTGGTGTCAAAAGCTAACACTTGTGTGTTTGACAAGGAGACTTGTTGATGACAAATACAGCAAACATCAAAAGCAGGAATTTATTAAAAAGTCTCCTATTAGTTTACGTTGAAGAGGTTACCTCACCTATGGGAGAACTTATTAACAACCAACTGCATCCTGTAAAGGGCAGTGAAACTGATTTTTGGAAGCTGATTCCATGACTTAAGCAAGAATAAAGGCATGCTCACACTGTCTCTTCCAAAATTAGCAAGTCTCTGCATGAATTATTTGTAATGTTGATGAATTTACAGTACCATTTTAATATGAAAGTCTAAAAAAAAGAGAATTATTAAGCAGGGTCTAAATGTACAGAATAATATTTGAAAAGGGAATAATCTTCCTTAAAGTATTTAATAATTGATATTTTTGCTGAGTGCTGTTAGAAATTAGAACTAGGCTCAGCAGGCTTTAGAGAGTTCCTTAGTCAATATCCAGAGTTCCTTCTATTGTGAAATGAATTCTTTTCTGCTTATTTTTTTTTTCTCTCCAGACATTTAGTAGATGGTTACCATTGTTGTTGTTATTGTCCCTGAAAGGACAGAGAAAGCACTCGCTTTTCACATGATTAAAATCACACCAAGAAAAAGTTAGCCACACTTTTTGCGATGAAGTACACAGCCGGGAAGGTACTAAGAATGTTTGCCACATCCAAAGGTCCCTGATCAAATGCCCATTGAAGTTAACATAGAGACTTCCTTTGACTTCCCTGGGCAATGAATCTGGCTCAAGATGAATGATCTCATCTTACTTGGACAAAGCACAAAAAAAAGTAAACAGAGAAAGAAGACCAAATATTAGAAAAGGAAAGTCAGCTGCCTGAGGAGCAGCTCTGCATGGAGGCTCTGATCCAGCTCCCAAGGAAGTCAACAGAAAGGGTTGTTCTTTGCTTCCCTGCTCTGTCCTACGCTACCACATTACTGAAGCTCCCCTACTTTTTTTCCCCCCCTCTTACTATGTACACTGCCTGTATAAGGACTGTTCACTGCTTTCATTTTCTTTCTGCACTTGGTTGGCTAAAGATGCATAATTATCACTACTTTGCTGCACTTCTGTGGAAGGTCCCCAAACTCTCACTCTGAAGAAAACTCTGCCACTGCCTCAGGCATGCTCTTGCTGTCCCATGCCCCTGGTACCCGTCCCCTCCTTTTCCCAAATGGAACATTTCACCTTTATTTTGTTTTATCAAGAAATGAGTTGTTTGTTTCTTTGGTTTGTTTTGTATTGCTTTTGAAGGATAACAAGGGGGAAGAAAAAGAGGATAAACTGGTTGCATAGGTCGAACAGGACCACAAAATGAGGTTTCAAAGTTGAGACACAATGTTGTCTTTTAAAGCGTTTGAAAGCAGTTTTTTCCCCTTCACATGGAATCCAAGTCTTTTCTTTCTGTGCATACCGTGTTGCTATCTTATCAAGCCTTTTTTTCTTAAGAATTAAAGAAAAAACCCCAAACACCCAAATCAGGTAGAAAACAGAACTGTGTCTATTGCATCTAAAAACTGAAGGCAGGATCAGGAAGATAAGAAATGCTCTGTCTTGTTGGTGCTTGTCCTGCAAAGCATTTGATTGAGTATTTATTTTGAGTACCTACACAGGAAAAAGCAGAGTCCACACAGGTCCCACTCTCCACTTCTTCCCACTTGGTATGTAGGTACAGATAGATGCATATAGATAGGTACCTATAGATAGGACATAGGTACAGGTCCTGAAGCAGGAGTGTTAAATAACCCTTAAGGGTGGTATTGATCCATGCAGCCTTTACTCATGTGAGCAGTTCCATTTGGAACCTCTTGTGTGCTGCTGCAGAGAATCCCAGTCCTGCAGGACAAAGCCTAGAAGCTGCCTGGCTGCAGGTAGGGTTTATTCCAGATGAACATTGTCTGGGTTTGGTTTTTTGCTTTTGTATTTTTTCTTTTTTTTTTTTTAAAGCTGTTTTTTCACCATAAACTCTGTATATACCACAAATCTGTGCAGTTGTTACTTGATCTTTACTTGCTAGCTGTGGGCTTTTTCCCAAAAATGTTGATTTTAAACTTTTTCCACCGTTGTTACTAACTCCTGTTGAGCTGACTGACACAGCTTTTACTTATTTATTTTAGCTTTTGGTGAGACATGAAAAAAAAAAACAACCCAACCAAACCCCAAGGAAACCACAAAACAAACTGTACTGTTCTGATCAACCTGCTCTTTTTCCCCTCCTTTAGGAGTGAAATGTTGTAGTTAACTTTGCTTTTTTTTCCCTCCTTCTTCACTTCCCTGTCTCTGCTGTTCTAGTGGATATATGGTCTGTGGGATGCATTATGGGAGAAATGGTTCGCCACAAAATCCTCTTTCCAGGAAGGGACTGTATCCTTGTGCCATTTGCTGCAGCTTCACCTATTATTTGTTCCTCTCCTCCACCTCATCCCTTTTACCATATAATGACTATACCGGGACTGTAAAGATAGAAGCAAAAAGTTGAATCCCAGAGGTATGAGTGAATGACAGTGGTGTGCTGCTGATATGGACAAAACAGCAAATGAAAAACAGATGCACAGAATTATTGCAGTCAAATAAGTTACTTGAAAACCTCTAATCATTCCATCATATGTAGTCTTTATGTCATACTAATAAGCAATATGGAAAACAAGCATTATGATTGCAAATGGGACAGCTTTAATTATTCTTTAAAGGAAAAATAAGAAAAACCAAAAAGAATCCTGACTTGGCCCATCTGGTTCCTGTAGATCTGTTTTTCTGCTTTTATGTTTTGGAAGTACTGACTTCATAACATTTGTGGTGACATCATAATCTTTTGCTTGCTAATGCATCGTGGATTTGGACTCATCTCAATGCTGTATGGGCTCAGGGTTGAGTCAATACAACATTTTTTTTCTTTTCTTTAAAACAAAATGAAGAATTTGACTTGTCCAGTTTAAGGCAACCGTTTATCTGCTGTGGTTTCCAAATTGGCCTGCAATCAGATTCTCTTGATTTAGAAATGAACTTCCCTTTACTTGCATGAGGCCTGTGTCATTAATTAAACTGTATTTCCCTCCCATCTTGTTTTTCTCATCTTGGGTGATATTATTTTTACCACTTCCAAGGTGGTGAAAGCAATATTAGAAAATGAAAACAAAAGAGGAGGTGTCCACGTAGCCTTTGGTTTATCACAGGCTAAGCTAGACAACCTGCCCATGATGGCTGGGACGTGCAAGTAGTGTGTATTTTGCCCATCAGAATAAAATGCAGCAACATAATGTGTTTTCTCCTTTCAGAAACAAAAAAGTGTATTATTTTCACCAGGTTGGCAGAAAGACACCATAAAAATCTGGCATCAGCAGACACTGGCAGTTGGTGTGGAGAAGGCCCAGCTTTTACAGATGTGTAGTCATGGAAGTAATTTATTTTTCTTTCTTTATTTGCTGGCTTTTGAATGATTCCTGTAGCGTTTGTCAGAGTGAGGTCCTGCCTGTCCTGTTTTCACAGCTCTGTCAGCTTTCTCTGAAAACGGAGCTCTGCCTGGGAGCCAGGTGAAGATGCAGTTGTACTTTACTAACAGGTAGATGGAGAAACCGCATGTACCTCCTGTTTGCTGAGGAGGAAACAGCAACGTTGTGCTGGCTTCCAGTCTTACAGGAATAGGGACTGGAAAGTTATGGGATGCAAGTGGTTTTCATTAGTAGTGGAATAAGAATGGTGGTTGTTATTATTAGTGGACAGCTTTGAGGTGGCATTCCATAGGTGCTGAGCTTTTCCTGCAGCATGTGGAGCAGGCTGCACACCCACCCTCTGCTGGCATCTGAATGTGCAGAGCAGCTCCCAGCACTCGTCAGACCTGTAATTCAGTGATAGTTATCCTGTGTTTCAGTGGTAACAACACCTCGGAAACACCATTATAAATCTGCTTTCAAATACTTGATGCTTTTTTCCTCCCCCTTTTTTTTTTTTTATAAAGGAAAACTAAATTATCTCTAGTATACTTGAGGTTCAGCTGTAAATACTGAGGATATCCCCATTTAATCTATTTGGA